ACGGTACAACCGACCTGTTGTTGAAACGGGTTGCACACGTCCCCCGACTAGACTACAACCTAGTATCTCTCACTTCCCTCTTCGACGACGGGTTCGAAACCAAATCCCTCAACAAACACGAGTTGGAGTTGGAGAGAGCGGGGGGGAAGTTGTTTTACTTCCCCCGATGCGGTAACCTGTACGTCCAAAACGGTTTCCCCACACACACCGAACACGCCTGTGCCGCAATTGCTCCTGGCAACGCGAAAGTGTCCAGCACCCCCGTTGACATCAACGATTTCCCCTGCGCGCACGGCCACTCCCACGAGGTGCTGCTGAGGACCACGGCGAAGCAGCAGGGGACGACGCTGGTGGGCGAGCCCCCGGAGTGCTGGGGTGCTCGACGGCGAAGGGGCTTTCCAAGCCCATCCCCAACAAGACGTCGACCCGAGCAGATTGAAAACTGCAGCGAGTTTTCGTGGATTNCTGCTGAGGACCACGGCGAAGCAGCAGGGGACGACGCTGGTGGGCGAGCCCCCGGAGTGCNACACACACCGAACACGCCTGTGCCGCAATTGCTCCTGGCAACGCGAAAGTGTCCAGCACCCCCGTTGACATCAACGATTTCCCCTGCGCGCACGGCCACTCCCACGAGGTGCTGCTGAGGACCACGGCGAAGCAGCAAGGGACGACGCTGGTGGGCGAGCTCCGGGAGTGCCTGGGGTGCTCGACGGCGAAGGGGCTTTCCAAGCCCATCCCCAACAAAACGTCGACCCGAGCAGTTAAGAAACTGCANACACTCTCATGGTCAAGGATGATTACACAAGGTGGAACCGTGTCTATTTGCTGAAGCACAAATCAGACGCCGCTAAGGCATTCGAGAGGTTCCTTGCAGAAAGCCGGGCAGACGGTGCCCCGTCCGCTGTCATGGTCGTGAGATTCGACAGTGGGGGCGAGTTTTTTTAAGGAGAGTTCGGCAAGGTGTGCCGGAAGTACTGCATCCAACAGGAGTTCACCCCCGTACACAGCCCAGAATACAACGGTGTAGCTGAGAGAGCACTGCGTCTGATCAAGGATGCAGCACTAGCCGCCCGTATCCAAGCGCCAACTCTTTACCCCGCAGCACCGAACTACCTCTCCCTTTGGGCGGAGGCCATAGCTTGGGCATGCACCGCCCTGAACTGCCCCTCCACCACATCCAACCCAGAGAAGCAATCGCCGTACGAGACGTGGCACGGGCACCCTCCCCCGCCGGGGGCGAAGTACCCGTTCCTCAAACCTGCCGTATTCAAGGTCAAGGGCACGCACAAGTCCGAGCCGAAAGCCCAAAAGTTTTTTTACCTCGGCCTGGGAATCAACACCAACCGTGATTGCGTGCGCATCTTGAACGAAAAACGCCAAGAGATCACCACGCGCACCTTCACCTGGCAATCCGTACCCGCCGCCCCCGCCGCCCTGCCCCAGTCGCTGCCTCCCATGGCAGAGGAGGAAGAGGAATTCGCGACTGAGGAGGACGAGGTTGGGGAGGGCGCGTCGAACCAAGGTGGAGGGAGGGCGGAGAGAGAACCTGTGGATGGAGGACCAGGTTTCAACCTTGGCACGACGGCAGCCCCGGGGCCCGCGGGGCCGCCTGCGCGCGCAGCGCTGGCGGCGCCACCGGCTGCGCCCCAGGAGTCGGGCGCGGGCGACGCTAGCGATGGCGCCCCCTCTAGCAGGGAGGGCGCGAGCGTCGCCCCACCTACCACGTCGATCGGCACGGCCGATGTGGGCGGCGGCGAGGACGACCACCGCAGCAGCGATAGCGGCGGCAGCGGCAGCGACAGCAGCAGCGGCGGCAGCGGCGGAAGCGGCAGCGAGAGCAGCAGCGGCGGCAGCAGCGGCGATGATGGCGGCAGCGACAGCAGCAGTGGCAGCGACATCGAGACGGTTCTCCCAGCGCTCTGTGGGCCAGACGCCCGGCGGCTCGCCCGCTTCGACAAGCCGGCGGAACTTACCAGCCGCCGCCCTAGGGAAAACCCTCGCCGAAACCCGAGGTACGAATCGCCCCCGTCGCCGACAAGTGCCGAAGCCCTGATCGCCTCGGCGGCGAGCCTGCCCGTCAGCAGCACGAAGTAGTTCACCAGCTGGATGCCCTCGGCAGTACTTCACGTGGCGGAGGGGCTAGAGGCGAGGGTGGTGCGAGAGTTGCTGTCCGAGCGCGCGCAGGAGGCCCACGCTGCGCGCCAAGAGGCGGAGGACTTCCTGCTGGGTGCAGTGGGCCTCATGCTCAACTCGCCAGACCCCTTCGAGACGGCTCTGGCGTCCCACAAGCAAAGTGAATCCCCCATTGGCAAGCGTCCGAGTGATGTAGAACCCCCGCCCATGACCGTAGCCGGCGTTGCCAAGTCTGTGTACAGAGAGGGGTGGGAACAGGCCATGAGGGAAGAGTTTAAAGGGCACTTGGGCACGAGGACATTTTCATTCATAGACGGCGCACCAAAGGAGCGCAGGCCTGTGAGCTCCAAGTGGTGTTTTTGTTGGAAGACCAACAAAGAAGGGAAGATAGACAAGTTCAAAGCGCGTCTGGTTGCTAGGGGGTTTTCGCAAATCCCGAACGTCGATTATTTCCATTCGTCTTCCCCTTGCCCCTCATCCGCATCCATTAAACTTATGCTTGCGGTAGCAAACGAGAAGGGCATGAACCTCCATCACTGGGATGTGAAGCAGGCGTACACACACGCCACGCTAGACGAGGAGATTTTCCTGAGGCTTCCCGCTGGGTGCGGGGAAAAATCGCATAAGATTGTTCAGGCTGAGCGTGCGATTTATGGTCTGAAGCAGAGCGGTAGGCAGTGGGGGTACCACGCTGCTGATACGCTAGTCGAGAACGGGTTCGAGCAATGCAAGGCGGACCCGTGTGTTTTCCGCAAGATGGTAGACGAAGTCGTGGTGATGATT